GTGGTACCTTTGCACAGGTATGACGACGTTCAACCTTAGACAGTTGGCTATTTAGCAACTGATCATTTCACCGCCTTGTTTTAACTTTCCTTTTTGCTTATTTTTATCAACAGTTAGAGTCAATCTTTTCTATCTTCTTCTTCCAAGTCCGCAAACCACTGTATGTTGCGTTACGCGCATACCTGGGCGACACCCGTCAGTGCGACGCGGTGAAACCCACCCATGGCCTGAATCCGGAAGTATCTCGCACAAGGTACCTAAGGATTCCGTGCCCAAACCATAATATTGCGGACTGTAGTACATTTAATTTTAACAGCCATAACCCGGGGGCTGTTTAGGGGTAAAATATAAATAAAAGGAGTCTCGGACAATTCAGTTGTCCTCGAGTTCCGCGGTTTTTAATTTCTTCGTTTCTTCTATTATCTACCTTCTTTCTCTTCGACTTTTACATAATGTACTCTAAAATGAGACATTTATATAGGGTGATCCTAAAATAAGGACACTCTTGGGTTACTAATCCCTCTTTACAAAGTTTTTTGTTCTAAAGCCTGAATATAGTTTCAGTGCTCATATTTTTTTCGTTACAGGGTGATCTTATAGTAGACACCTTCTAAAGCCTGAATATAGTTTCAGTGCTCATATTTCTTTTCGTTACAGGGTGATCTTATAGTAGACACCTTCTAAAGCCTGAATATAGTTTCAGCGCTCATATTACTAATTGTTCTAATCACATTCCTTCAATCATTCTAACGTTCCAATGTTCCAATTCATTATTTGTATATAGTAAAAAGCATAAGCAAGGTACATCAGGTCACAGGGATAGGGCTAGGACACTGAAGTGGGATGTGTTCGCCAGCAGGTCCAGACTGAAACCAATGCTGTAGCTTAAATACATTTAAACAATCAATACATTTATTTAAACTTCACTTATTCATCTGACCTCTTTTTCGTGGGGGGAGGATGTTTCGAAATCAAAACATATCAAAACATTTGAAGCCGGTCCTGCGCGCCACACTTTGGGTGGTCCGTTGAATATATATAAAAAATCGTTGTAAACACCTGCTTCTTGGTCTACGTGACATTACACACGTGAATGTGCAAACAGGATCACACCTGACTAGCCGGCACTATGCATTTGTTCCATCTGTCTCCCTCTATCGTTTTCTATCTCCCTCAACATATACGCAGCTAACCGAAAAAGAAGCGCACTTTTTAACCAGACACCAAAGCAAACAGACGTGTATTGAGTTCGCTCTTACACAACATAAAAATGTCATTTTGTAACTCACTTTGTAACAAGTCACCGACGCAAACAGACGTGTATTGAGTTCGCTCTTACACAACATAAAAAATGTTTTTCTCAGCAAAGATAGTTTAGAATGTAAATAAATATGTAAAAAAGTTTTTGTAAATAAGTGTACTGAAGATTTATGAAGAGTCATAAATAAAAGGTGTTATCTACGATAATTTTGCGAGTTTTATTCCATAAGGAAATTACTACAGTCCATTAGCCGAAGCAGAGAAGAACCGAAAACTGTGTTGCTGCATACGTGGTTTATCAATTCAGGTAATCACGATCACAACAACTGTCGTTTGATTTACCATTGTGAAAGGTCAAAATAAAATATAAAATTAAAAAGTACTTACAATTTTAGAACATGTTTTACAAAACACCTGGTTATCACCTTCTACAACAAAATATGAATAAGATTTTACCCACGACTCAAATAATTTTGCCATTTTTCCCACTGGTTAACATAACACAACAATAAAGACTGAAATGAAGTTGAAAGTAAACTGAGTCATTTAGAAATTTGAAGATATTAATACAACTACCTGAAAGGAAATTTTTTGCAAAATTTGTTGGTTTAAGGAGGGTGTTTATAATTTAATCCTCTCAAGTACCTACACCATTAACCGTAATTTATTACAGGGAAAAGTTAATCCTTAAAATTTTTAGGTAATCGACCTGTAAAGGCATTTCACAAAATATTATTTTGGTCCAAAACTCATAATTTTAATATGTCCAGCCAATTGGTACGTCAGATATAGGTATGCCAAAAAATTCACAAAATGTCAATATATGCATTCAAAATCAAAAATTGTATATATATGCAACATATGCAAAATATGGCGTTTTGCATATATTCCTAGCTCTAATTATTGTGTATGGCTGTGTCTTCTTGTTCATATTTTTCTTTTATATCACACCTTCTGTTTGTTTTTTAAAAATGTGTTTTAAGTTTCTTGTTTTTTCTTTTTTTTAGTTTTTGTTTTTTTTTGTTGGGTTATTTTATTTATTAAAGACTTGTTATGACAACTTAAGTATCAGTTCTGTCAAATAGGTCAGTGACATTGTTAGGGTTACTAGTAAATTTCCGCTTCCCCTTATGTTCGCTATTCAGTGAGATATCAGAATAATTTCTGTTTGAAAGACTAAAACAAATACTTTTTTATGATGGATTCAATCGTTCTGTGACGTCATGGCTTACTTCTGTTTTTTTCGGAAATAACAGAAAATCGATTTTTTTTAATTTTAAAAGGAAACCCTCTTTTTTATTATAAATTTAAATTTCTGGGAAATTTTTGTATAATAATCGTGTATTGACAATTTTCTGTTAGCTGTCAAAATGGACGCCATATTGGATAATATTTTTTCAAAATATGTTACTAATAATTTTTTTATGGAAAAACATATAGGAATGTACGAACTTTATAAAACCTTTTTAGGTTTCAAAATTCTAATTGAGACCCATTTACCGTATACCAGTGGAGTATCTATTTTTATTATTAGCAAACCGTTTAATAATTCCATCCGCTTTTATATTCGTTTTTAATTGAGATATTGGAATGAAAACTTATTTGTTTAAAAGCTTGGGACAAATACTCTCATATACTGGATTCAATTGGTGTGTGACTTCATAGCTTACTTCTGTTTTATCGGAAATAACAGAAAATCTCAATTTATTTTTAATTTTTTAATAGTAACCCCTGTTTTTATTGAAAATTTGAATTTTAGGGATATTTTATAATTTTTTAATAGTAACCCCTGTTTTTATTGAAAATTTGAATTTTAGGGATATTTATGGATAAGAATCATGTGTTAAAAATTTTTTGTCAGCTGTCAAAATGACCATCATATTGGAAAATATATTTTTTAATATGTTCTGATCGAAAATTTTTAATATAAACTTCTTGGACAAAAATGTCCCAGAAATTAAAATTTTTAATAAGAAAAAGGATTTTCATTTAAAAATAAAAAATAAATTGTGATTTTCTGTTATTTCTGGAAAAACCGGAAGTAAGCCATGACGTCACAGAATAATTAAATCCATCATAAGAAAACTCTCTTTTATTTTTAATTTTCTAGGTTTTCCAACAAATGAACATTCTAATTTTTTTCAAAATTATGCCCCTCCCTTATAGAATTGTGTAACGACGCCCATGCACGTTTTGGAGATGTAAGAGCTTTAGGGGAGAAGTTGCAAGTCACATTGTAATATACATTATGATTCATGCCTATGATAAGTTTTTGCATAGTGTGCAATAGGATGCACCAACAGGGAGAACATGTTTTTTTTTGTCAAAAACAGCTTATCAACAATATATATCTCAAAAAAATATATTAAGAAACTATCTCTTGAGAATTTTAACAAAAAACTACCCTGGTTCACCAGTAATTAACGTGTTAATAAGCAATATGTACACACTACAACAAGTGGTTAAGAGAAAATTAACATGATTTTATATTTGCTAATAAAACGAATAAAGTAATTCACATGCAACCAACAGTACAAGAAAGTAATATTGGTTGCCTATATGTCAGTAATTTTTTACCAAAACAATTTTATAAATGATCTAGTCAAAATTAAAAAGAAATATTAAATGTAATACGTTAGGAAATACCGTTTTATGTAACTCGTTCATGTTACAAGACCTCGCTCGGCTCGTTCCGTAAATATTCACGCGTTAAATAAAAGAAGCCACTTCGTAACTGGTTGCATAAATAGCTATAATTGCATAAATTTACCTATAACATCATAGTTTTGTCACTGATTTTACATTACTTAACAATTTATATCATTTTTACTATTTTAATGTCTAATTTTATTGGATTCTTAAAAATTGTTCTTTAATAAATTATGTTAGATACATTGTTTTTTTCCTTTCGCATTCTTTACTTCTCTTATAGATCTGATGACGAACATTTGACCACAACTATTTGCTCCAAAATAAACTGTATAATGTGGTTAAGTCTTAAGTTTTCTTTCTCTTTTATTTAAATTAATCTAACATAACCACATTGGCATTGACAGCAAATGTTCAATTTTTATTAAGAATAGATGTTCTTATAGATCACAGCCATTTTAGTTATAATTAATATTTCAGGTTTATTTTCCATATATTTTTCAATATTTGAGCACAAAAACGACTTATGCGCGACACCGTCAGCTTGTAAGTGTAATTTACAGGTCGAAAACACAGTTTGTAAACTGAAAACTGTAGGGCAAACACAAGGTTTACAAGTGATATTGTCTTGGTACATAATCTTGAATAATAATATACAATCATAAACAATCGTTAATCTTGGAACGGATGCTAGTTCTTGTGAATTTGTATTCCTCGTATCTATTTATATCAAAACGGTGTGAACTACAGGTGCAACAGTGACAGTGTTATAGAGTCTAAAATTAATATAATTACAACCAATAAACCTCACAATAAAAACCCATTATAAATACGATTTTATTATCCGTATCTGCCATAAATACGCATGTAAATACAACCTTGATCTTCTGCAACTGCAATTTACTCGGACATGTGCATATCTGTAAAAAGAAGTAAAATCGACATAATAATTATTAAATTTTCACGAGTGGAAGCCAAAATCGATATCTCTGCAAGCCCAGACAAAGGTGTCATCAAAATAGCTCGAAGCAATTTCATAACGTTTCTTAAAGTTCACATATAAAGTATGTATGACCATAATTATCGGATAAACAACAATACCGCTGAAGATGACCCTGCCCCGAGAGGGTGGGGAGTTGTCCAAAAATATAAATATCTTTAATTTATTGGTAATAGTCACAGTCGTGCAATATTAACCAAATAACCAAAATTGTAAAAATGAAATTGGTACGTAATTTTTATAGTGATTTTATTACATTGTGTGATGTTTTGGTGAAAAACAGTTACAAAAAAATTGTTTTTTTTTTTAGTTTAATATTTATTTATGACAGTTTAAGAGGGATAATATTAGGAATATGTAAAACAAATTAAAAAGTATTTCAAAATGTAAAATTATAATTTTAATTCAAATTTTTAAATATTTTGTTAAGAAATAATTGTCAGTTTGATTAAATCATAACTAATGAGACAATTATTCTTCTTATTAACAATAAAAGCAATGGTGGTGGCAATAATCAAAATAGTATTTTATTTATTCTAGAAAATGCTAAATCTAAGTTGAAATAGTGTTCTTCATAATAAATTCAAATTGTTGTTGTTATAGGAATGTGCTTTTATTATTATGTGAATTCCTTTTTAAACAAAAATGTTTGCTAAGAAAATATTCGTGAGTTCGAAAAAATTTCCGGATGTAATTTAGATACTATTGGTATTATAAGTGAAAACTAATTTTTTATACTTACTTTAGTAGAACCTTTATACACGGTGAATGAAAAACTTGGTAGATTCTGTCTGTTATCTTTAACACAATTTTATTAAACGACCTCAAGTCATTTTAAAATAATTATAGCTCATAGAACATTTGTATGATTCAAAAGGTGTCTAATTAATAAAGTGAGAAAGTTATATCAACTTGTTATGAGATATGAGTCATAAAACTTAGTAGTGTCATATTAAAAAATATAATTTTTCTTGCCAGATAGAGTTTGTACACATATTGCAACTATTTTTTATTTATTTATTTTATTACAATATTCAAGATAAGAAAAGGAATATTACAAAAATTAGGAATTATCATAAATTATTATTCTTATCTATATACACTCACCGGTAGAATTAACCCCTATCCACTGTTATGTTATTTAGTTGGAGATATTTGTAATTTTGATTTTTTTTTTTACTTTTTAATGTCTAAGTACATCTTGAAAAAGCAAACAAATACCAATCAAATGTCACGTCATATCAATTAATGTCAAAAAGTGACGAAAATCTCCGAAAATTTCAGAAATAAATAAAAATAATTGGGTGGGCGGTTAGTTCTACCGGTGAGTGTACATTTGTACATACCAAAGCACCATAAGCCTTACCCCCTATCTAACTCGTTACTGGAGTCTTGTTAGGAAAATCGCCGAGACACGTCGATTTTTGATTTCTACAGTGCAGATTTTTGTATGAATAGTTTACCCTTAGTTTCATCCCTTACTGGAGGGGAGCAACCCTTTAGAAAAATTTAAATAGCATGGGGTGGTGAGTGATAGCTCATTTGAAAGAGGGTTTTATTCTCTATTCAACCATGTAAAAAAATTTGAAATTTGCTTCAATAATTCTCGACTAATTGTTTCAGAATAACGGAAATTAACGTAGCGCACTCATCCTTAGAATTAAAATTCGGCCCTGCATGATTTCGGTTTTGGTTCAGACGTGAAGTAAGACTTTTTGCCATTAGAAGGTCACTATTAGTTTAGTTGCTTTCCTATTTTGTGAGGTTTTGTTATTTTTAAACATTAATAATTCAACACGTAATAAAGCAAATTTAAAATGTTTTTGCACGGTTTAATAGAGAATAAAACCCCCTTTCAAATGAGCCATCACTCACTACCCCATGCTATTTAAATTTTTCGAAAGGGTTGTTCCCCTCCATTAAGGGATGAAATTAAGGGTAAACTAATCATACAAAAATGTACATTGTAGAAAACAAAAATCGAACTGTCTCGGCTATTTTCCTAACAAGACTCCAGTAACGAGTTAGGGTGGGTAAGACTTATGATGCTCACTGTATATAAACTTAAATCTAAATAAACACGAATTTAAACAGAAACAAGTACATCCTGAAAAAAACTTACATAAGAAAAAAAGGATGCATCCATTTCCGCCTTTAATAATTAGGTACTACTCAAATTAATTTGACAAAAAGATACTTCTTATAGATGCAACAGAGCAATTAAGAATATCTATATCATCTTCAATGTTCGAATAGTTTAGGATAATTTGGAATAAAGACGATGCTTTGTATATGTTAGTTCTATGTGCTTGTTGATAGAATAGTTGATTTCTTCGGAAATTAACTCTAGGGACGTGAAAGTTTAACATTTCCAAACATGAAATACAATTCACCTTGTTATTTAATAACTTGAACAGAAATATTACTGAGTGCATTGATCTTCTTTTTAAAAGACTACATGTATTGAAACGGTTTAAATAATAACTTTGTGGAAGTTCTCTTATGGGATAGGTATCATCACTTAAAAGACTAGCTGATTTAAAATATCTTCGTTGAACTCATTCCAAATGGTAAATGTGATAGGGTATATCGGACTCCAAACGATACTGGCATATTCTAATTTTGACAAAACCAGCAAAGAGAAAAGTCTTTTCAACGTTGAAAAGTCATTGAATAATCTCATATTCCTTATAACAAAACCTAAAGTTCGATAAGCAGAAGCAGTTGTTTTTTAATGTGCGATGTAAACGTTAATTTTGGATTGAAGAAAACTCCAAGATATTTAATCAGTTCTGGTCGATTTAATGTAGAATTTTGTAGGTTATAATTATATAGTATTGGTGCTTCCTTTCTAGTAAATGTCATTATATTACAGTTAACAGTAACTTATTTCTTTTGCACTATTCGTTTAAGCGGTTAAGATTCTCTTGAAGCAATAGATAATCATTATAACTAGAGATTTCATTTAAAAATTTTAGGTCATCGGCAAACAATAGATTCATTGATTTATGCCCTAAGCATTGAACATAAAGGTAACGATCTGATGGATATGACTGTAAAACATTTAATAAGGAGCCATGAAATCCAAGTGCTGAAAGTTTACTTATTAGAAGTTTGTGATCAATTCTATCGAATGCTTTAGAGAAGTCAGTGTAAATAACATCAACCTGACTTCTTCTATCCAAAACTTCAGAAATACAATGAGTTATACAGATTAGATTAGTTACAGTATATTTTATGGTTTCTTGGTATTATGCGGGACATCGAAAAAATATTCAGTATCCTTCTGCAATATTTTAATATTATACAGTGTGTTCATTAGTCATGGTCATGAATCAAATAAACTGAGATGGTAGAGGTTATTTTTAAGCAGAATAATCATATACCGGGTGTTAATATATTCGACCGACAAGGCTCTACCCCAAAAAGCTACCTAGATACCGGGTGATTAACATTTTAAATTAAAATTCAAAATTTGCCAAAAACCAACAACGCCGTTTAACATTTTTTTCAAATTTGATCATCAATATGCTATTTAAGAAAGTAACATTTTGACAAACTCAATTTTGAAAAATTTAACAAGTGGTGCGCTATCAGAGTTAGAGATAACTTTCTCCTATTTTTTATTCCTCTGGACCAAACATTATTTAATTTTTAATTTATTTTGTTTATAAATTTTCTGTTTATTTTCGGTTAAAAAATACTAGCCTTTCCTGGATCTAAAATAAACGGCGTTGCCAAACTATGCTCCTAAATAAAAGTCTTACTTAATACTGATAAATTGTGTTAATTTTTTAATAGTTCATGTATTTGACATGATCTTGATGAAATTAATTAAAAAAATAATATTTAAAGACGTTTTTTATTTATGGCAAATTTTTAATTTTTGAATCACACTTTTACCACCCTGTTTCTTGGTAACTGAGCCCAATATGTTCCAAAATCAAAATTAATCAATTAAAGAAAGCTCCCTTGAGTAGAACGCTGTCGAATGTCTATTTAATTCAATTTTTTGTAGCGGTATATACAGAATGAGGACTGCAATGATGAATTTAAATAATAATTATCATATTTTTATTTCTTAACTTTTTTATGATCAATTAATTGTTTTATATATCTAATATTATTTCATCCAGTATTTCTTCAACATAAATCAAACCTTTATTTATGTACTTATGTCTTACATTTTCAGATTATCCTTGCGTTAGCTATAGCAGCGGGAGTTGCCTCTGCTGCACCTCCAGCTGAACATTCCAAAGAACAAATCCCCATACTCAAATACGAAAATGAAGGAGTAAATCATGATGGTTCATATAACTGGAAGTAAGCCTCTACAACTAAATTTTTGTCCTTTCTTTAGCAGTTTCTTTGAAACGCATTTAAAATAATTTTCTTTTTTCAGTTATGAAACAGGTAACAACATTATAGCCCAAGAACAAGGTGAATTTAAACAGGGCGCTAACCCTGATGAAAAAGAAATGGAAGTCCGTGGTTCCTACGAATATACAGACCCCGATGGAAAGAAAGTAGTAGTTACCTATATCGCTAACAAAGATGGATTCCAACCACAGGGTGACATCTTGCCCACTCCTCCTCCAATCCCACCAGCGATCCAGAAACTTCTGGAATGGTTGGAAGCACATCCTGAAGAAAACCAAGCAGAAGAGAATAAAGTTTGATAAGTTAAGATAATTTTGTAATATGGCAGTTTTTGTAAATAATATGTAAATAAATTATCTACTTTTTATATTTTAAAAATTAAGATTTCTCTTCCTACGTCATTAAGTTTTGAATATTACCTGTCAACCTACTATTCGATAACAAAAGAGCGAAAAAAGGAAGGAAACTAAGAGATACTGACAGGGCTCGCTCTAGCCTTCATGTCATCCCGGACAAAGAAACAATTTACCGCCCCATATACAGAGAATATTTTTAAGCTATTGCATAGCTTTTATCGCGGGCTTTGAGCGCGGCGACCAAATCAAATAATTCCGTAACGAAAAAAAACCTAACAGCCCCCACTCCGACCGACACAGCGGGGCGGCGTTGAAAGCCGTGCATCGTCTAATGTCGTTTCAGTTCGGCAGACTTCGGCACGGTGTTTTTGTGCATGTGACTAGACGTATGCGTGTAGGTGTAGACTAGCTGCTAACTGCTCATAACTGAATTCTATCTCTTTTAGACACAATTTCTGAAAAATTGAATTTAAAAATAAATAATGATCCACAAGAATCCACAACAAAATATGGGACCACCATTGACGCGGTATTTTCCAGATATTTAGAGGATATCAAGTCTCAAACTTATGTTTCTTATTTCAGTTACCATAAACCTACAAATATATTATGTATGCCAATGAATTCTGTGCAATTGGGGTTAATGTTTAGACACTGCTACTACAAGGAAACAACATAAAACTTAATAAGCATTCCATACGTTATTTTTTTGTCCCTTAAAAATACTTATGGAGTTTACATAAAAAACCATAGAAAAAAGACTACTTATTTTGTTCTTTACAAAATATTTTTGTTTAATTCCTAAATAAAATCTATAAAAAAATACAGTGAGCACCATAAGTCTTACCCCCCTATCTAACTCGTTACTGGAGTCTTGTTAGAAAAATCGCCGAGACACATCGATTTTTGATTTCTACAATGTACATTTTTGTATGAATAGTTTACCCTTAATTTCATCCCTTACTGGAGGGGAGCAACCCTTTCAAAAAATTTAAATGGCATGGGGTGGTGAGTGATAGCTCATTTGAAAGAGGGTTTTATTCTCTATTCAACCATGTAAAAAATTTTGAAATTTGATTCAATAATTCTCGACTAATTGTTGTTTCAGAATAACGAAAATTAACGTAGCGCACTCATCCTTAGAATTAAAATTCGGCCCTGCATGATTTCGGTTTTGGTTCAGACGTGAAGTAAGACTTTTTGCCATTAGAAGGTCACTATTAGTTTAGTTGCTTTCCTATTTTGTGAGGTTTTGTTATTTTTAAACATTAATAATTCAACACGTAATAAAGCAAATTTAAAATGTTTTTGCACGGTTTAATAGAGAATAAAACCCCCTTTCAAATGAGCTATCACTCACTACCCCATGCTATTTAAATTTTTCGAAAGGGTTGTTCCCCTCCAGTAAGGGATGAAATTAAGGGTAAACTAATCATACGAAAATGTACATTGTAGAAAACAAAAATCGAACTGTCTCGGCGATTTTCCTAACAAGACTCCAGTAACGAGTTAGGGTGGGTAAGACTTATGATGCTCACTGTATATAAACTTAAATCTAAATAAACACGAATTTAAACAGACACAAGTACATCCTGAAAAAAACTTACATAAGAAAAAAAGGATGCATCCATTTCCGCCTTTAATAATTAGGTACTACTCAAATTAATTTGACAAAAAGATACTTCTTATAGATGCAACAGAGCAATTAAGAATATCTATATCATCTTCAATGTTCGAATAGTTTAGGATAATTTGGAATAAAGACGATGCTTTGTATATGTTAGTTCTATGTGCTTGTTGATAGAATAGTTGATTTCTTCGGAAATTAACTCTAGGGACGTGAAAGTTTAACATTTCCAAACATGAAATACAATTCACCTTGTTATTTAATAACTTGAACAGAAATATTACTGAGTGCATTGATCTTCTTTTTAAAAGGCTACATGCATTGAAACGGTTTAAATAATAACTTTGTGGAAGTTCTCTTATGGGATGGGTACCATCACTTAAAAGACCAGCTGATTTAAAATATCTTCGTTGAACTCTTTCCAAATGGTAAATGTGATAGGGTATATCGGTCTCCAAACGATACTGGCATATTCTAATTTTGACAAAACCAGCAAAGAGAAAAGTATTTTCATTGTTGAAAAGTCATTGAATAATCTCATATTCCTTATAACAAAACCTAAAATTCGATAAGCAGAAGCAGTTGTTTTTTTAATGTGCGATGTAAACGTTAATTTTGGATTAAAGAAAACTCCAAGATATTTAATCAGTTCTGGTCGATTTAATGTAGAATTTTGTAGGTTATAATTATATAGTATTGGTGCTTCCTTTCTAGTAAATGTCATTATATTACATTTAACAGTAACTTATTTCTTTTGCACTATTCGTTTAAGCGGTTAAGATTCTCTTGAAGCAATAAACAATCATTATAACTAGAGATTTCATTTAAAAATTTTAGGTCAACAGAAAACAATAGATTTGTGACGCTCAAATTACAAACAATATCATTAATAAAAAGCAGAAATAATAAAGGCCCTAAAACCGAACCTTGCGGGACATCGGATGTTTGTTTGAAATTCATTGATTTATGCCCTAAGCATTGAACATAAAGGTAACGATCTGGTAGATATGACTGTAAAACATTTAATAAGGAGCCATGAAATCCAAGTGCTGAAAGTTTACTTATTAGAAGTTTGTGATCAATTCTATCGAATGCTTTAGAGAAGTCAGTGTAAATAACATCAACCTGACTTCTTCTATCCAAAACTTCAGAAATACAATGAGTTATACAGATTAGATTAGTTACAGTATATTTTATGGTTTCTTGGTATTATGCGGGACATCGAAAAAATATTCAGTATCCTTCTGCAATATTTTAATAATATACAGTGTGTTCATTAGTCATGAATCAAACTAATTGAGGTGATAGTTATTTTCAAGCAGAATAATCATATACACGGTATTAATATATTCGACCGAGAAGGCTCTACCCCAAAAAGTTACCAAGATACCGGGTGATTAACATTTTAAATTAAAATTCAAAATTTGCCATAAACCAACAACGTCTTTTAACAATTTTTAAAATTTGATCACCAATATCCTATTTAAGAACGTAGCACTTTGACAAACTCAATTTTGAAACATTTAACAAGAGTTAGGGACAAGTTTTTCCTCCTATTTTTGATTCCACTGGACCAAATATTTTTTTATTTTTAATTTTTTTTAATTTATAAATTTTTTTGTTTATTTTTGGTGAAAAAATACTAGCCTTTCCTGGATCTAAAATGAACGGCGTTGCCAAACTATGCTCCTAAACAAAAGTCTGCATGTACTTACTTAATACTGATAAATTTTAATCTAGTAGACTCATGTTAATTTTTTAATAGTTCCTGTATTTGACAAGATCTTGATGAATTAAATTTAAAAATAATATTTAAAGAAGTTTTTGATTTATGGCAAATTTTTAATTTTTGAATCAATACTTTTACCACCCTGTTTCTTGGCAACTAAACCCTTTATGTTCCAAAATCAAAATTAGTCAATAAACGAGAGCTCACTGGGATAGAACGCTGTCGAATGTCTATTTAATTTTATTTTTTTTTATAGTGGTATATACCGAATGAGGACTGCAATGAAGATTTTAAATAATAATTATCATGTTTTTGTTTCTTAACATTTTTATAATCAGTTACTTGTTTTATTTATCTAATATTATTTGATCAAGTATTTCTTCAACATAAATCAAACATTTATTTATGTACTTATGTCTTACATTTTCAGATTATCCTTGCGTTAGCTATAGCAGCGGGAGTTGCCTCTGCTGCACCTCCTCCAGCTGAACAATCCAAGGAACAAATCCCCATACTCAAATACGAAAATGAAGGAGTAAATCATGATGGTTCATATAACTGGAAGTAAGCCTCTACAACTAAATTTTTGTCCTTTCTTTAGCAGTTTCTTTGAAACGCATTTAAAATAATTTTCTTTTTTCAGTTATGAAACAGGTAACAACATTATAGCCCAAGAACAAGGTGAATTTAAACAGGGCGCCAACCCTGATGAAAAAGAAATGGAAGTCCGTGGTTCCTACGAATATACAGACCCCGATGGAAAGAAAGTAGTAGTTACCTATATCGCTAACAAAGATGGGTTCCAACCACAGGGTGATATCTTGCCCACTCCTCCTCCAATCCCACCAGCGATCCAGAAACTTCTTGAATGGTTGGAGGCACATCCTGAAGAAAACCAAGCTGAAGAGAATAAAGTTCGATAGGTTAAGATAATTTTATAATATGGCAGTTTTTGTAAATAATATGTAAATAAATTATCTACTTTTTATATTTTAAAAATTGAGATTTCTCTTCCTACGTCATTAAGTTTTGAATATTACCTGTCAACCTACTATTCGATAACAAAAGAGCGAGAAAAGGAAGGAAACTAAGAGATACTGACAGGGCTCGCTCTAGCCTTCATGTCATCCCGGACAAAGAAACAATTTACCGCCCCATAAACAGAGAATATTTTTAAGCTATTGCATAGCTTTTATCGCGGGCTTTGAGCGCGGCGACCAAATCAAATAATTTCGTAACGAAAAAAAAACCTAACAGCCCCCACTCCGACCGACACAGCGGGGCGGCGTTGAAAGCCGTGCATCGTCTAATGTCGTTTCAGTTCGGCAGACTTCGGCACGGTGTTTGTGTGCATGTGACTAGACGTATGCGTGTAGGTGTAGACTAGCTGCTAACTGCTCATAACTGAATTCTATCTCTTTTAGACACAATTTCGGAAAAATTGAATTTAAAAATAAATAATGATCCACAAGAATCCACAACAAAATATGGGACCACCATTGACGCGGTATTTTCCAGATATTTAGAGGATATCAAGTCTTAAACTTATGTTTCTTATTTCGGTTACCATAAACCTACAAATATATTATGTATGCCAATGAATTCTGTGCAATTGGGGTTAATGTTTAGACACTGCTACTACAAGGAAACAACATAACACTTAATAAGCATTCCATACGTTATTTTTTTGTCCCTTAAAAATACTTATGGAGTTTACATAAAAAACCATAGAAAAAAGACTACTTATTTTGTTCTTTACAAAATATTTTTGTTTAATTCCTAAATAAAATCTATAAAAAAATACAGTGAGCACCATAAGTCTTATCCCCCCCCTATCTAACTCGTTACTGGAGTCTTGTTAGGAAAATCGCCGAGACACGTCGATTTTTGATTTCTACAATGTACATTTTTGTATGAATATTTTACCCTTAATTTCATCCCTTACTATAGGGGAGCAACCCTTTCGAAAAATTTAAATGGCATGGGGTGGTGAGTGATAGCTCATTTGAAAGAGGGTTTTATTCTCTATTCAACCGTGTAAAAAAATTTAAAATTTGCTTCATTAATTCTCGAATAATTTTTGTTTCAGACTAACGGAAATTAACGTAGCGCACTCATCCTTAGAATTAAAATTCGGCCCTGCATGATTTCGGTTTTGGTTCAGACTTTTTGCCATTAGAAGGTCACTGTTAGTCTAGTTGCTTTCCTATTTTGTGAGGTTTTGTTATTTTTAAACATTAATAAATCAATACGTAAAAGCGTGAAGCAAAATCATGCAAAAATGTACATTGTAGAAATCAAAAATCGACCTATTTCGGCGATTTTCCTAACAAGACTCCAGTAACGAGTTAGTTAGGGGGTAAAACTTATGATGCTCACTGTATAAGTATCCTCATAAAAATATATGTATTGAAAATGTAACCGGAGTCTACAACTTAAAAATCAAAGCAGGTTGCGTATATTTTCTGTGACTAAGTTTTCATTTATTCATTCATTCATATACGCGTTTAAAACCACGCGCCAAGTTCCACCACGCCCACCGCAATGAGAACCTCCATTTTAATTGGTCCATAAAATGCCCATATCTTAACTGTATGCTATTTGCACCTATGCTGCCACTGTCAGTTTCAAGTATCAGTTCAGGTAATCGTTAATTTGTTGATCCTCACTATTCCGGGATTATCCATTTAAATATTACTAAGAATAGATAAAACTTTGTAATTAAAACGAAAAACTGGACTAACTAGGTATCTTCATTTACCAAATTTACCTTGGAACTTAAAACTGTCAGCGAACAAACAAATCTTCGAAAATTCAAAGGCAAACCATACCATAACAAAAGATTTATTTTCATTAAATTAAGTGTCAGATGTCATCATTCTTTCTTCTTTCTTTCGTACGTCGTACGCCGTATTACTAGAAGGTGAACAGCGACTCAATTCCTATCACGAAGTGGCAACACAGCGCTCTCTAGAAATTTGTGACCAGCTACTACCTAGACCTTAAACGGCCTACACACGTAAGGATTTATCGTACTGCATGCAGTACAATAGAGAGTTATTGCAAGTTCACTTTAGGTCAGTCACTATTAGTGCCGCTCTTATTTTGACATCTGAGCATGCGCAGATCACTAACTTTAATAAAGATTGTGTCTGTCCTTAATAAGAGAGTTATTGCAAGTTTACTTAAGGTCAGTCACTATTAGTGCCGCTCTTATTTTGACATCTGACCATGCGCAAATGTTTACGTTTTAAAACTGACTTTATTAAGGATTGTGCCTGTCCTTAATTGTGGATGTTTAAGGGCAGCAGGTAGTGGCGACTTTATAGTTTTCGGATGCGCTTGCCGTTAGAAGTTTTTTAATATTAAATATTTAATATAATCGTCATTTAAACCTTCTAAAATTATAATTTCTAATGCCTCTTTAATATTATAGACAACAAAATAGATGAACTATAATTTAAAATTTAGTGGCTGGCTTTATGGAAATTTGCAATATCTCTCTATTAAGGACAGGCACAATCTTTATTAAAGTTAGTGATCTACGCATGCTCAGATGTCAAAATAAGAGCGGCACTAATAGTGACTGACCTTAAGTGAACTTGCAATAACTCTCTATTATCCATCGAAACTGCCGCATTAACGATAAATCGTAGCGTTTGTAGGGAAATTGGATGGTTTGCAGTATGCAGTCGTCAAATCGTTTGCAGTAGGAAGCTTCCGTAAAATATCGTATCAACGGGTCGTGTCTGGGGTGGGGTTTGAACGCAAGTCTGAACGTGTGGAGTGTATTCCTGTCGCAGCGCGCAGTTACGATATAATTTTTATTTATTTTTGGTTTAATCAATATTATGGATTTAAAAAATAACACGTTCTGGGAAGACTTTATTGATTTATACAGAGAAAATAGATGCCTATGGGATGTGAAATCAAAAGATTATGCAAATAAAATGAAAAGAAATTCTAGTTATGAAATTTTGTTTAAAAAATTTAAGGAATTGTTCCCAGAAGCATCACAAGAAGTGATGAAAAAGAAAATAAACAATATAAGAACATCCTGCTGCTAAATATCTTAGTAGAACAGAATAGAAGTAGAAGTTGGAAATGCTTTTGCCAGTTCTCCCACTTTATACACATAAATTGACAGGTTGGCAGCGGATCTCACCGAAGTGGACACGATACATTGGCGTACAAAATTATTTTATTGATGTTAATAACAATTTGGAGTAAATAGTTTAATAAATTGTGAATAGCTGTTGAAATTTTGTAAAATTATGATTTAGATATTATAATACATGTTCAATAATTATTTATAATCCATAAATACATGCGATTGTCCGGTTCCGCCGATAACAATTTAAAATTACTTATTCTATTAAACGACACTGGCAGGTAAACATTACTGCGAAATTCTCGGAGCCGCCCGACGTGGTTTGACGTTTACCCCCTCTCTACCTACCAAAAGCCTTTCTAACTTTTACTTTCTCTATATTGCAACCAATATTTCTTCAGCAGATATTGCATTTCTCATAATTGTTTCTTGCTTCGTAATTTTATTATAAACTAAATCCATCGAACACGTAAAGGCATCAGAATCCATTCTTAAATAGTTTTTAAAATCAAGAGGTTCTTTTTTTCCAGCACTTTTAACAACCTCATATGTGAATATTTCTTTCTCTCCAGCAACCACTTTTCACATCATTTTCGCATTTGGGTCATTCCACGTCAAATCGACCAATAGTTGGAATCGACCCCTTTCGATTTGGACGAATTTTGGTCAGAAGTTTTCTTTTGTCCTATTATGAAGTTATGCCAAAGGAAAAAAAATTAAAAAAATTTTTTTCAAGAGTTAGGGAGAATTCAAAATTTCACTATTTTCCATGTTTTTTAAACTTATGTTTTAAAAATCTCGAAAACTATTGCAATTAAAAAAATCGTTTGGGGTCAGTTTTAAAGGGGATACTTGGGGCTATAAAAAAAAAATTGCCGAAAAAAAATTTTGAAAAATCTTCAAAATGTGAAATTTTGAATTTTTGAAAATTATCAAAATTGATGATCGACAATAAATTTTTGGCTCAAATTTTTTTGTATACTACCTTGTACCAATCTTAAAAGATCCTGAAATTTTTGGAACTGTGTTTTTTGTTTTTTCAAAAATATGAATTTTTGAAATTAGTTAAAAAAAAAATTTTTCTTAAATTTTTTTTTTTTAATTTTTGTCTTAATTGAGTTTTGCAAATCGCGTAATTTTGTTATTTTGAACAATTGAAATTTCTTTCAGTGGCATAATGAGAAAAAAAATTTCAATGACAATTTTTGAGATCAATTTCAAAATCAAACTCGTAAAAATGATGACAGTGGCACCTGTATTATCATTTGATGTTAAAGTAGAAACGTGGTGACATCTATGATGTGACGTTTGAATCTCCACGTCTAAGATAAAGTTAATCTTTCCGAGTTTAGTTACGAAGACAGTCATCATTCTCAGTAACTGTATAGAAATAACTCTTTCTTCAAATTCTAAACTAATGACAATCATCTTATCAAGTCTTAAATTCGAGGACATTATCTAGTTAAAATTTTGAGTGCAGAACAGATAAAAAATTAGTGATGGAAAATAAAAAGTGTTCGATTGGATTATTCAAGGATGAAATATGCTCTGAGGAAAAATTTATTGATTGCAAAAATTTTTCTGACGAAGATCAGATTGCTTTGAATTCTAGAAGTGGTACAGAAGTTAGTTTTATTTGCTCTGAACATGACAAGCGGTATCGTATCAATTATACTTCAAATCAAAGAGCTTGTGCTGATCCCTTTAACCTTCATGACAGCAGAGTTCGTAAATCTTTGAGACCAGTCAGTTTAAAATTGTTTAAACAGTGTAAGGTTAGTGTACCTTCCATTATTCCGGGAAGTAAACTGTGCATTTCGTGTACTAAAAGAGTCTATAGCGAATTACCAGAACATCAAAATATAGTTAAAACAGTTGAAAAAACTGTGAATATCGAAAAAAGTCAAGCAGTTGAGAGTGTCTCTGAAGATTCCGTCTTCAAATCATCGAAACCATCTGAAACACCTGGCCAAGTAGGGACTATTCATTCAAAGCCTGGTGGACGAAAAAATGTCCTCTAATTTATCTGAGAACTTGCAGTTGTCAAACGTGACAACTTCAACATCTGAAATGTGCAGCTCAAGCAGTGAAACTTTTACACCTACTGAAATACATCTAGATCGCCTCAATTCTACTGCCAGAATTTTTAATTTATCAAGAGAAAAGATTTAGATAGATCAAAAACATACGCTCAACGGAAATATCATGACATGACGTCGAAACTGCAATCATGCTTTGAACATCTCATGGAAAATGATTCTGACATAATTAAAAATAAACAATTGAACATTGACGATACTCCTAAATTAATCGGAAAAGAAATAATAAGTCAGCTAAAAGAAAAATATAATAATTGCAGCAAAGTGAGTGAAAAATTACACATTTTATCTATTTTGCCTTTAAGTTGGTCGACAGAAAAAATTGTTGATGCTTTTGGAGCATCTACATATATGGTGAAAAAAGTAAAACAGAAAGTCAGTGAAGACGGTATTCTATTCACTCCGCAAAGAAACAAAGGTCATTCATTATTAAAAAGTACTGAAGAGAAAATTCAACAATTTTATCGAAACCAAGATGTAAGTAGAGAATTACCTGGTAAAAAAGAATATAAATCAGTTCATGAGAATGGTCAACGGGTACAAAAACAGAAACGGCTAATTTTGGGTAATTTAAATGAAATTTATCAATTGTTCAAGCAGAAGTACCCATTTGAAAAAGTCAGTTTTTCAAAATTTGCTAGTCTAAGACCCCCCGAATGTGTTCTAGCTGGTTCATCTGGCACTCACGTAGTTTGTGTCTGTCTCATTCACGAAAATTTTAAACTGTCATTTCATGGTGCAAAACTTGACAAATTAAAATATAACGATGAAAGTCAACCGGCATTTTCTTCATATCGAGATTGCTTGAAAATGATTATTTGCCCTCAACCTACGAGTGACTGCTATTTGGGAACCTGTAGTAACTGTCCTGACTCGACAAAATTATGAAGAACGATCGAAAGTATTTTCAATGATAACTTTGTAGATGAAGTAACGTACAAACAATGGACTCAAGTAGATCGATGTTCTTTGGAAACGATTGTGAAATCAACTGATGATTTCGTTGATTATTTGGTAGAATCTATTCCAAAAGTGCTTCAGCATGATTTTATTGCTCGTCAACAGGCTGAATTTTTCCAAAATACGAAAAAGAATCTCGAAGTTGGGCAAGTACTTGTTGTTGCTGACTTCTCGGAAAATTACTCATTTTTACCTCAAAACTGTTCAAGTGAATTGTATAAAACCCTGATTTATGAAGATTTATTGTAGATTATTTAATTAAAATATCGGAAATTATTAGTATGACTTTTTATATGATTTATTTATATAAACTTCAGTTTAACAATATATTTTAACAATAAAAGTACTTGTACATGGATACTAAATTATACAGGACGCATAATTATTCCTATGATCTTAACACCTTTCCTCATTGGATAATTTTGTGAGTCCCATAGATTCTCGAAGTGCATTAAGTCTTGGCTTAAACAAAGGTTTTGTTAACGCATCTGCAATTTGTTTATTTGAATCGACCTTTAGAACATCGACCGATTCTTCCAGTACAAGTTCTCTGATAAAGAAATGTCTGATTCTGATATGTTTTGTACGACGATGAAGTTCTGGGTTTTGTGCCAATTTGATTGACGCTTCATTGTCAATAAATATATTTGGTAGACGTCTTAACTTTAAAATTTGTTGATAAAGTCGTTTCAACCATATAACTTATCTAGCAGCTTCACTTGCAGCTACTATTTCGGCTTCCGTTGTTGAGATTGCAACGGAACTTTGACGTTGACTCATCCAGGAAACAGCACCTCCTGCGTAGATACAGACAATACCCGTAGTGGAACGTCCTGTGGTCTTATCTCCTCCATGATCTGCGTCGCTATAACTGTCTATACAACCCTTCTTGTAATTTGGTTTGTAGGTTATGCCAAAATCAAAAGTACCCTTCAGGTATCTAAAAATTCTCTTTACTAATGTAAAATCTTCTGACTTAGGATCTTCTAGGTTTCTAGATGCTACACCTACGGCAAAAGCAATATCTGGTCGTGTACCAGTCATTAAATAAATTAATGCTCCTACAGCTTCTCTATAAGAGAAAGGTTTATTTTGATCATTATTCTCCTCTTCTTCTAGGTTCTCTTCCTTCCCTTCTTGATAGCTCTTTACAATCGGTGTAGATACTGGCTTGCAGTCTTGCATACCAAATCGTTGTAACAATTTTTTTGTGTAGGCACTTTGGTTGACGGTGATTTCTCCATCTGCTCTTCTATTTATTTCTAGACCAAGAAAATAAAAAGCAGGTTTTATGGTAACTTTAAATTCATCTCTTAGGTCTTTCAGAAATTTATTTTTCATGTCTTCATTATTTGATGCTAGCAAACCATCGTCTACATATAATGCCACAATTAGCATATCGCCGTTTTCTTTCTTCACAAAAAAACATGGGTCTGCCTCACTTTCTGTAAAGCCTTGAAGAATAATGAAGTCAACAAATCTTTTATTCCAGCATCGAGGGGCTTGTTTGAGACCGTAAAGGCTTCTATTCAGGCGACATACTCGATTAGTATCATCTTGATAACCTTCTGGTTGTCTCATAAATACCTCTTCCTTTAATTTTCCATATAAAAATGCTGTACATACATCAAATTGTGTTAAAACCATATTTTCGCTAGCAGCTATACTTAGCAAAGCCCTTATAGTACCCAACTTTGCAACTGGACTAAAGTTTTGTTCATAGTCTTCACCTTTTTTCTGTGAATAACCTTTTATTACTAATCTTGCCTTATACTTCTCAATGGAACCATCTGGATGTGTCTTAATTTTATAGACCCATTTGCAAGAAAGAGCTTTCTTTCCAGGAGGTAAATGATCAAGAGTCCAAGTGTTGTTTTCTGCAAGAGATTGCATTTCTTTTCTCATTGCCTCTTTCCACTGCTCTTTATCATATCTTCTCATGGCTTCTTCATAAGTTAAAGGCTCCTTAGACTGGAGTATATCAGTTGCAACAGACATTGCAAAGTCTTCAAATCTGGCTGGTTTTCTAAGATTTTCTCTGTTTCTAAGAATTCTACCAGATTCTTCATGGTTTTCATTTTCTGAAACTTCATGTTCTTCACTTATTTCTTTTTCAATGTATGTTTCATTCTCATCTCTGGCTTCATCACTTTCTTCAATATTTTGTTCTATATAATCTTCTGAATTTCTATTTACAGACCCTTCTGATCTTCTATCAAACTGGCTTTGAGTTGGTTGACCATTGCTTTGATTTGTATCAGATAGTATGGTAGGCATATTTACAGAAGATAAAATTATTTCGTCAAAAGTGACATCACGAGATCTTATTAGTATTTTGGTTTCTTTACACCAAATACGGTAACCATCATTGTTGTCATATCCTATGAGTATTCCCTTTACAGCCTTTTTATTCATTTTCTTTCGTCGCTGTTTAGGAATGTGAGCATAGCAGGTGGTTCCTATGACTCTTAGATGTTTTAAACATGGTTTTTTACCGAACCATACTTCAAACGGAGACTTTCCATCGACTCCAGAAACACCTGTTCGATTGAGGATATAGCCTGCTGTATTCACCATTTCTGCCCAAAGGCTCTGAGGTAACCCTTCCTTAGCATGCATCATTGTCCTTGCCATTTCAACAATAGTTCTATTGTCCCTCTCTGAACAGCCATTTTGTTGAGGACAATAGGGCATTGATAATCTATGTTTCACTCCATGCTGACGAAGAATTTGCTTAACTTGCTTGTTTACAAATTCTCCTCCATTGTCAGTTAAGAGCTCCTTCATAACATGTCCAGTAGTTTTAATCTCAGCTATAACAACCTGTAGATAATCAGCTACTTCAGACTTCTCCTTCATAAAATATACAAATCTAAACCTACTAAAATCGTCCTTAAATAAAACAAAATATCTGTAACCTGACTGGGATTTCTCAAAAGGTCCACATACATCAGCATATAAAAGTTCTCCTGGAGATGTTGCTCTGTCTCTATGACCAAATTTGAGAATATGTGCCTTTCCGTAAATACAGCCTTCACAGAGTTTATTATCTAAATTTAACTTTATACCTAGTTCTCTAGAGATTACCATTCGAACATGTTTCTTGTTTTGGTGGCCTAATCTTTCATGGTATAATTGAAGGAGATTCTTATCTGTGACTGAATTTATTTCAGATTCGGTCTTGTTTGTAGGTCTAGATTGCAGAGCTAGCTTGTATAGTCCTCCATGTCTACTTCTTTTACCTATTAAGACTGTTCTGCCGGCTATTTCCAAGGAACATTCCTCAGCAGTCGAGTAAAAGTTACTTTCTTCTTGCTTGTCTTGTGCAAAAAGAACTGAAAACAGATTTTTCTTTATTTTTGGTACATACCAAACATCTGCAAGGGTAATTAAAATTTTTCTTCCATTTACTATGGTTTCAAGCTTTATGTCACCTTTTCCTAAGGCTTCAACGGTATCATTATTAGCTGTGGTCACTGTTTGAAGTTTTTGAAATGATTCGTAGGATTCAAACAAATCACGACTGTTGCAAATGTGATTTGTTGCTCCATTATCAACGAACCAACTTTCTCTGTCGCAGTAAGCTAATAAAGCGGTATTTGACTCTGCCAACAGGGTAACGTTCGAGGAGGAAGGATAACTCGCAACGTTATTGGATGAAGCAGCACCAGCAACAACCGTATTTGATTTTGGAGGTCTTCCATCAGCCTTCCATTTTTCACACTGCTTAACTTTGTGACCTGGTGGTTTACAATATTTACAAATCAACTGTTTCTTTGATTTACCTTTCCAGCTATTAAATTTCTTAGATGCTAAAAGAACTTCTTGACTATATTCACATTTGTTGGATAGAGATTTCTCATAAACACACAGTTGAGTGGTTAAATTTTCGACCGTTCTTTCTGTTTTGTTCATCAGCATCCAACTTGATTTAAATGGAAAATAATCCTGCGGCAAAATTCCTAATATTTTGCAAATTAATAGCAAATCTGGCAAATTACAACTACAGCTTTTCCCACTAACAGTTTTTTCTTTTAAAATTTCATTTTGTAAATCATTCCAAACATTTTTTAATTTTGAAATATGTGTGGCAATATCATCTTCAGCTTCTTTGTTATAACTAAAGAACTGGATGCAGAGGTCATATGTTTTATCTTCTATTACACCATCATATAATCTTTGAAGCTCCAACCACACTTCTCTGGCTGTTGTATATCTCATTACTTTTTCTAAAGTACTTTGAGTCATATTAACGGTAAGTATAAGAAGTGTACTGTTATCCGCTTGATTAAAATTAGCTAAGTCCCTGTCATACTTGACTTTTTGTTCTGGTGAGGCATCTTCTTTTAAAGGTAAGGGTGGCTTTAGTTTACCTTCTAAAAGTTCATGTGAACCAGTAACACTTCGTAGTAAAATACTTATTTTGTACTTCCATGTGTGCCAATTCGACTTGCCTTCGAGTAACCCAATGTGCAGCTTACTTACGTCCATTTTATTTTGGGTTTGTTTTTCCAAAATAATATACTTAGTTGCAAGGATCTACTTTGACAAATATTTCTCGAATATATTTTATTTGAAAAAAAATCTTCAATCTTTACTTTCTCAGGGAACCACGCTCTGCTACCATGTTGAAGTGAATTGTATAAAACCCTGATTTATGAAGATTTATTGTAGATTATTTAATTAAAATATCGGAAATTATTAGTATGACTTTTTATATGATTTATTTATATAAACTTCAGTTTAACAATATATTTTAACAATAAAAGTACTTGTACATGGATACTAAATTATACAGGACGCATAATTATTCCTATGATCTTAACAAAAACAGTGTCCAAGGAGCTTATTGGAATAATAGCGAAGCGACAATCCATCCATTTGCTTGCTATTATAGATCTACTGGTGAAAATGGCGACAATATAGTACCTCTAAGTTTGATAATCATTTCAGACAACTTGACGCATAACACAACAGCAGTTTATAGTTTCCAGGAAGTACTGACATCGTTTCTGAAAGATAAAATCCCAAATATTTCTAAAATAATTTATTTTTCGGATGGTGCAGCATCTCAATATAAAAATCGGTACAACTTACTGAACTTGCTGCATCATGAGGATGATTTTCAAATACCAGCGGAATGGCATTTTTTTGCAACTTCACATGGAAAAGGTCCAAGTGATGGTTTAGGCGGAGCATTGAAGCGGAAGGTTGACAGAGCCAACCTCCAATCTAAAGCTGAAGACCAAATTCAAACACCCGATGAATTATTCCAATGGGCAAAAGAACATGTTCATGGAATCTGCTGTCACTTTGTTTCAAATGAGCAGATTCAACGTACTCAAAAAAAACTTAACCAAAGATTCAAAAATGCTCTGCCAGTACAAGGGATCCGAAATTGTCATGCTGCTATTCCCATTTCTAGTGATGTGATTAGAGTAAAAACCTTATCCTCATCTGAGCAAGGACAGGATTTTCGATTAAAAAATACAGATATCTACGAGTTCGTCGAAGAACCAGATATTAAAAGCAGGTAAAAAAAAACTGAAATTCATGTGTAAATACTTTATGTATATCGAATTTGGATTTAAAGATTAAAGTTATATTAACATTTTTCAGATTAAGAAAAAGAAAAGGAGCAACAACAGTACAAGGAGGATTAAAGAAAAAACGACTTTCATAACAGAATGTAAAGTAAACTTACAGTTGTATTGCCCTATTAAATAAATGAATAACCAATAATAAACAAAGATCATTAATGTTTTTTTTTCTCATCATTATGCCACTAAAAGAAATTTGAATTGTTCACAATAACAAAATTACGCGATTTACAAAACTCAATTAAGACAAAAATTCAAAAAAAAAAAATTTAAGAAAAAAATTTTTTTTAACTAATTTCAAAAATTCATATTTTTGAAAAAACAAAAAACACAGTTCCAAAAATTTCAGGATCTTTTAAGATTGGTACAAGGTAGTATACAAAAAAATTTGAGCCAAAAATTTATTGTTGATCGTCAATTTTGACAATTTTCAAAAATTCAAAATTTCACATTTTGAAGATTTTTCAAAATTTTTTTGCAGCAATTTTTTTTTTATAGCCCCAAGTATCTCCTTTAAAACTGACCCCAAACGATTTTTTTAATTGCAATAGTTTTCGAGATTATTAAAACATAAGTTTAAAAAACATGGAAAATAGTGAAATTTTGAATTCTCCATAACTCTTGAAAAATTTTTTTTTAATTTCTTTCCTTTGGCATAACTTCATAATAGGACAAAAGAAAACTTCTGACCAAAATTCGTCCAAATCGAAAGGGGTCGATTCCAACTATTGGTCGATTTGACGTGGAATTACCCTATTTGATTTCTTTTTGTTCATCATCTTCATCAGCAATACCGCAGCTACCAGCACGGCAGCTTTCTTCTTTGAAATTCTTGACATTCTCGACGAAAACTGAATAATCTGAACTGCGGCAGTACAATGTGTTGCATCGTGTGTACAAAAAATGGCTGTACTGCAAGCCGTACGATTTTCTTTACGATCTGCAGTTCAATGCGCAGTACGATAAATCGTTACGTGTGTAGGGCGTTTTTAGTTCATTTTTCTCACGCGGGTCTCCGTTTTCAGTCTTTTAATGCTGTCTTTGATGTATAACATTTTGAGTAGTCATTTGTTTTGGTACTGCCCGACGTACTCTATAAATAATTTAGTAAAGTGCCAGCTTGTCTTTGCCTTTGCATTTCCTTTTCCATCCATCTTTTTTTATATTCGCTACCAGAAAGTTTTTTGAGTCCCTCAGACTTTCTGGAAGGTACACAAAACATCTGAAATAAAACAACAACAGACTTAGACTTAGACAAGTACTGCACTTTTTTATGCTCATTTAAAATCTAGGTGAACGATTAAGCAGTTTTATATATTTTTTATAATTATAAATTATGTAATAGTAGTAAAATGGTAACGAACCTACCACCTACCACACCTTTAAAATGTATAGGCATTTGCATTTTACACAATTTTCACTTTAGCTTGAAGGCCTCCTAAATGGTCAGCCATTACAGCAGCACCATCGTAGCTCTGGGCAACAAGCTTAGAACCACATTCTAAACTTGAAATAATGTCAGAAACAATTTTAAATAAAGCATCTGCAGTTCGTTTGCTAGTGACGTCCAAAAATCCTAAGAATCACTCTTGAGGAATGCCATCTAATATATATCGCACAACAATGGATAATTGACTTAAATTTGCTACACTTGTGGTTTCATCAAGCGCAATTGATACGAAAGATGCTTTTTTAATTTCACTTTTAATGTGATCCATCACAATGTCGGTAGTGCATTTAATTAAATCATTTTGGATTCTGTTTGAGGTACCTTGGAAAGTCGTCGAATCAATAAAATGATTTTTTAGGAGGGTTTTATCGTATTTTGCTAAAAAACTTAGAAGGTCCATGTAATTTTCTCGATTGGCGGATCCACTTGCTTCATTGTGACCCCTAAAACTTAGTTCATACTCTCCCAAGAAACAAGTTACATCTATTAATCGTTGTAAGACGTTCCTATTTTTTTTACCCTTTCATTGTGAATTTTGTTGCTTATTTTTGAATGATTGTCCATACTATGTTCAATGCGATAGGTCCCGAATGTTTACACTTATATGGGATTTGCTATTTATTAACCATTCATACTTTTCATAGAACCCTACGTGAAAATGCCTGGTAAATTTCTTTGCTGACTTTTCTACTTCGTCTCTAAATTGATAGGACCCTTTAGTTAATTAGAATTAATAATGTCCGTATTCTCTTCAAACTTTCTACTTGAAAATCCTCTTTTCAACAAAGAACACACAATACAGACACAACTTAGCTCCTCCATTTTACAAAAAGAAAAACAACTACGAAAAACAAACCTCACACGTCGATTCGCGATGACAATTGCAATATGCGTAAGGCAACGTAAAAATCGCTGCCTCTCGACCGTGTTTCTCGTTTCCAAACTGACTGACTACACTGTCGCAGTAAAGCAGGGTCAACAACACGAAGCCAAACCTATTGGAAGATGAACCGGCTCTTTCAAGACGCGCTTCTCCCGACGGACTCGAAGTATAGGGTGTGAAGTTAAATCCAAAAATCAAAAACAATAAACTTTTAATAAACGACAAATTTTTTTCTGTCCGTGATTTTGAACAAAATACTGAAGATACAGAAAATACTGATACTGAAGGAGATGAAGAATTAGACACGTTAAAGTATTCTCAATCGCAGTCAAAGAAACGAGAGGACGAAGAAAACAACAAACAACTGGAAGACATTACAAATAAAAATAAGACGAAGAAATTATCTGTGGTCCAATCTACATGTCAATATAATACTCGTAGTCAAATTCTGCAGCAAATAATCAATAGTAAATCAAAAAAGTAATTATTTTATTCAGTCTAATAATAAACTTAAATTTTAATAAGTGTTTTTGTTTAAAATTATGTATTTTTAAATTGCAACTTTTAAAAAATCTGTTCTATTATTCATAACTTAATTGGTAAAATATGGATCCGTTTATAAGGGACTATGAGAATAATCCTATTGTTTCAAGAAAAATTAATAATGTATCAGACTTTAAACAAGTTGTACCCTCTGAAGAATTTAAAATAATACAGATGAATGTTCATAGTTTAAAAAAAAAATTTGATGAATCAATTATTTTATTGCATCAACTCGATATTCAATTTGATTTAATTATTTTTACTGAAACCCGGAAAATCCCTGATATCACTTTGTATAACATTGATAAGTATGTCACATTATATAACGGGGGTACATTTAATCAAAATGATGGGATTGTCATTTTCATTAAGAAAAATTTGGACTATAAAGTCAAAACATGCAATATAGGTATTCACAAAGCATTAAATATTGTCATCTCTACATTTGCAAATAAAATTGATTTAACAGCAATATATCGTTCACCTAGCAGTTGTCCTTATGTTTTCAATTCTGAACTTTATAATTATCTAAAAAATAAAAAGCATCAAGATATCAATATATTCACAGGTGATATAAACATTGACCTTCTAAAAGATAATGATTATACAGAAGAGTATAAAAATATCCTTAGTTACTATGGTTATCAGTCTTATGTAAATGAGTACACTAGATTACCAAGCCGTACCTGCCTTGACCACTATTTTGTATTAGAAAAATCAAATTCAGAGAAGCGTAATATTTGTTCATATATTATTAGATATAATATTACTGATCACAACCCGATATGTCTTACTTTTAAAGTTAATGTAAAAAAAGAGACACACACAAATAACCTTAAGACATATAAATTATCCTGCACTAAAATCAAATTTGTCGCAAGAGAAATGGGATGATATATACAGGGAAACCGATTGTGATACTATTACGCTAAATTTTATAAAAAAATAAAAATATTATATCGATAAACACACAAAAACTGTTAAAATAAAACAAAAACAATCATTTAAAAAAAATTGGCTATCTCAAAATCTATTACAATGTATTAAAGAAAAAAATAAATTATACTGAAAATATTTACAGAATCCAACAAACAATGAATTACAGGAAAGGTACAGAGTATTTAGAAATCATGTTAATAACTTAATTAAAACAGCAAAAACAGATTATTACTCAAAGGAAATAGAAAAAAAATAAACATTCTTTAAAATCCCTGTGGAATTTTGTTAATAATATATATGGAAAAAGTAAATCTGGAACAAAAATAAAATCAATCAACTTGCCAGATGGAACTATTTTAAATGATGAGAAAGGTATTGCTAATGCTTTTAATGTACATTATAGTGAACTAGGAGAAAAATGTGCAAATCAAATACCCGATATTTACTACAAAGAACCGACAAGATCTTTGGAGAATACCATGTATTTACATCCAGCATCTGAAAAAGAAGTAACTGAAGCAATAAAAAGTCTTAAGCTAAAAAAGGCCCCTGGGTTGGACAAAATCCGTTCTGAAGTTTTAAAAGAGGTAGTGTCTGAAATTGTAACACCTTTAACATTTTTAATCAACACTTGTTTTGATAAAGGGTATTTTCCAAAAATCTTAAAAAATGGTGTAATTAAACCTCTATTCAAATGTGGTAATAAATCACATATCGAAAACTATAGACCGATCACTTTAATATCGAATGTAGCAAAGGTAATTGAAAAAATAATTAAAAAAAGACTCAACAATTTTCTATATAAGTACAATATTCTTTCAGATCGTCAATATGGCTTCCGAGAGGGCAAGTCTACAGAAGATGCTATTTACAAGCTAACTTCATTTATTTATAAATCACTAGATAAAACAATACCAACGATAAGCATTTTCTTGACCTCTCGAAAGCCTTTGATACTGTCGCACATGTAAGATTACTGGAAAAACTTCAAGATTACGGAATTAGAGGGAAAACTTACGATATTCTTCGAAGTTATTTATCGGGCCGTGAACAGCAAGTTGAAATAGCCGGTGTCATAAGTGAAACTAAAAATATAACTTTTGGTGTACCACAAGGTACTGTACTAGGTCCAATTTTATTTACTTTGTATATAAACAATATGCTGTCTCTTGACACTTGTGGTGAAATTATCAGTTTCGCGGACGACACTGCTATTTTATACCAATCTTCATCGTGGCAAAGTTTGAAACTAAAAATTGAGAATGATT